GTTGCTGAATGATCATGTAACTCTGCATAAGTTTTTCATACTAGATGTTAAGGGAGGCATGTTGCGATAAGTTGATAGTTAACGTAAAATTTTGTCAAATCTTATGTTATGTAACTGATTTAGGATGCAATCAAACAAGATAGTAGAATTATAGGAGAATGGGAGAGGGAAGAGAAGAGAAAGGAGGGAAAAGAGAGGAGGGGGAGATAGAAAGAGGACAAAATTAGACGTCATATGGAAGGGAAGGGAAGAAGAGAAAGGAGGGGGAAGAGAAGAAGAGGGGGAGATAGAGGAAAAAATTAGACAGACGGAAGAGAAATTGCGGGAGAAAGTATCAATTTTTTGTTCATTTCAAAGTTGTGTTTGTTAAACCTAGCGTTAATTGAAGTAGTATTTTACTATAAAATCAATTAAATCAAACCGTAATTATGTTTCCTAAAATAAGTATCAAAACTGGAAACTAATTTAAATAATATCAATATGTGATTAACGTGCCCCTGCTATCATTAAGAACATGGTCCAGTGGCATAAGTTGCAGAACTGACTTGTTATGTAAAATTTTGGAGATATACCTAAAGCTCAGATAGTGTAATAACAAATCTTATTCATTAACATGAAGTTCACCATTCTATTTTCAAGAAAATTGGATCGTTGTTATTCTTCAATGGCATTCATGTTTCTGTTGATTTGAAAATGGAGTATCAAAACAGTGGATCCTAGTTTTTCGTGAAGGCCATTGGACTCATGGAGGGAAAATTAAATTCGGTTTTCTACTTTTCACAGGACAACATCTAGTGGGGTTAGTTGCCCTGGTTCAACCCCCATTGCTCCGCCTTTGAATATGGCGCACTTTGAAGTATTTCAATACAAGTGAAATTTATTTTGATTGATCATCTGTCTTATTCTCGTGTTATTCTGCCAATTTTATTTTTTGGGTTGGTATTCAGAAGGTTTGATGTGGACGCTCAGGGGTGTTTTAATTTATATTGTGACGTGTTCCCATGATTTCGAAGTTCTGTTTCCCAATTAAGCTACTAAATATGCCATTTGGTGCAAAATCTGTAGGATTTGGAGGCAGTGGTCCAAACAGTGGAAGTTTGGCGCTTCCTTCTACCGGAAGATCAACCAATTTTGGATGCCCTAAACTGTACACTGGACATGGGGTCGGTCCTCCTCATTTGCTACAGTCGGGAATGATGAAAACAGATGCTGGTGACAGGATACGCTCGTCCATGGTTAGATCCAAAGGAGTTGGCACCAGTAATGTAGATCAAGTGAGGAGGCGTTAGTAATGTTTTTACCTGTTACCATATAAATCTTTTTTGAAGCCTCATTTTCGACTCAGATATGTGAACACGTCCTTTTCTGGTTATATTTCAAATATATAAAAATAATGCAAATATGATGGAAAACATGTTTTCTTTGCACTTTGGCCATTTTTATGCGTATGTCTATGGATCTTTAATGCAGATCATATCTTCAACTTTAGAATATCATAAACTACTATACTATTTTTTTTTTCCGTGCAATTATCTGACCCTTTGTTGTTTTGCATTTAATTACAAATTGGTGTGATTTTATTTTATTCTTTTTCTGCTTTCTGGATTGTTAGAAGTTGGTGGGTGGTGTGAAATTTTATAATAAGAGTTTCTATACGATTCTTTTGAAAATTTAGTCGGTGAAAATTTTATAGAATTGTATCAAGTTTTCATTTAGTGGAAAATTTTGAGTGTCCATAAATTCTTTTCTACATTTTTATATAATCTTTATGTCTGGACAAGAGTTCTGTTGGCAAATTGGATGATTAGTTTTAGTTGCCAGCATAAATTTTACTCACTGCTATTAAATCTAGTACAATATGCCAAATATGCCCAGATGATTTTGGCCAATGCTTAACTTGGAGCATTTGTTTAATCTTAAGGCATACGATAGATTATACCTTTTAATTGAATGGATTAGGGTTACAAAAATATCCTGTACTTTACATTCTTATCTTATTTTGATAAGAAAGCGCTTTTATTTCAGCTCGGTAGAACTTGGGTCCTTGGCTGATTTCTCGAAAGAAGTTTTTATGGGATTTTTATCCACCAAAATTTTGACTTTCGATTCTAGGGAACGAATAATCATAATGGCGTAGCTTGGTAGCGTATTTGCTTTGGGTACAAAATGTTACGGGTTCAAATCCAATCATTTCTATCTATTACTCTTGTAATGGTAGAAATAATCAATCAAAAAGTTAATGAAATTTTTTTTCTTGATCAATGAATGAGAGTCTTTGCATGTAGGTTTAATGCATGTCATGTATTAGGTTTTAATTCTTATGATAATCTTAAATGTCGAATATTAATTTCATATATACAAAAAAACATATTTAGTACATACAAAAATTTTAAACATTTATCTAAAATGCTTAAAAGGGAAGAATATCGTTAGGCATCAAGATCACTAGACCAAGTACATTAGACACCAAGATCACCAGACTAGACCAAGTAAAGGATCGAACGATTAATGGTAATTAGGCAGATAGCTGTCTTCTTGTAATCGGTTGTTGCAAAAAAAATAGCTTTTGACAATAGCGAATCACAAGAAGACAAATGTTTTTCTGTATCATTTCTGTTAAAAAAGTTTGTATTTGCAGATTAATTCGAAATTCTTTTGGAATTTATGTTAAGTTGTTACAATCTAATTCCATGTGTTAAGCCTCCATTGGTTAGCAAAGGCTGAATTCATTATGGTAAGCTCCCTTCGACTTGTTGGCTTCCTTGGGGAAATTGATTTTGAATTTTGTTAATTGTATCATCCCGATTGACAACGTCCTCACAAAAGGGGTGTTCATGATTTTTTTTTAATTCACTGTGGACCTCTTTCCATATGTGTGGTTGTCAAATCCAATTGTATATGTGACATGATCGATTGACTTTTTTCCAAGATTTTCACTGATCCCATTGATTACGCTGTCTTTTAGGGATTGATAACGTTATTTCCTTTTCAAACAAGTCCTTCCTAAAGTATATTTAACCCTGGATTCGAACATCGTGGTCACCTTCGCCCATCGAATGCCATTAATGTTTCACCTTTAGTGTTCAGGCGTAAGGGATCCAATTGGTTGGCGAGGCATCCATCAAGAAGCATTTTTATGCGAACACCAAAGAGATGACAACATTGTTGAAGGTGAAAACTTGGTTACATGTCTTTTGTTAAGGAATAATGCTATGTAATTTTATTGGAGTTGCAACCACACTTTAGATAACGCTAATGTGATATTAATTGATAGATGAAAATTAAACTCAATTAATTTCACCTTTCATTTAACAAATCTTCTAGTATCAACTAAACTGGGTTTACAACCCCAGTGGAACTAAACGACATTACTCTTTGTTAAGACCCATACGTTTGCCATGGGTTCCATTGTTAATGCCTTTGCTGCCACGTGAGCGCTCATGTGGAATCTTTGCAGATTTCAAATTGTAGCAAAAATTTCCAAATTAATTTCTAATTTCCAGAATGATAAGAAATCATTCTTGGTTTGAAAGGAAGTAATTTACTCAAAATCACCAGGTTTCAAATTTTCAAGAATTTTGACCTAATTTTTCTGTCCATTTGGCCGCCCTACACCAGAACTTTGACATGTCGCCATATCGAAAAGTATTAGCATTTAGCAAGCACCATCATCGTCTTGCTATTTGCTAACGCTATCCCAAGTAGTGATGTATCAAAATTTGGATGGTCGGACAACCACAAGATTTCAACTCATTTAGCAAAACGTACTCCTATGAACAGCGCCGACAAGAAACCTATTCTAATCCCTTCTAGTCATTTCCTATCCAACGTAACATGCATACCCCAAAACCCGAGAGTACACCGGGGATAATAATCATGGAAAACTCCAAAGAAGTAATGAAAGAGATTCTAGCCTGAGAAGAAGCCAAAAATGTTTGCAACATAAGAGGAATTAAGATGACAGGTAAAATGAATGGCAGATACTATTGCTTCCAAGAAAGAGACTAGAAAATGCCAGATAGCCCGATACGAACATCATCAAGATCTTAAGAAAAGCTTTGTAATAAACATAGGAGAATCCGAAAAAGAAGATTACGAGGAAAGAGAAAACTGAATATACCCAACAATCCTCCATGTGGACCATATCCAACCCAACAACTCATATATGAAATTTCCCTAACAAACTACTATTCACATTCAAGTTCAGACCAAGAAATACAATATGGGTTCGGAGCGGGCGGGGCGGAGACAAATTCTCAACATTTATGATACACAAATTCTCAAACCAAAATATCAATTCTGTTGTTCAGGAAAAAAGTGCTCTATAAGCCATATCACGGCTCTCGAACTCTTAAAAGCACTTGAAGCAAAAAGCCCCCTTTTTTTGGCAATCAAGAACCGTAATGATAAAGTTGTTCAAACACAAATAATAGTATATAATAGCAAAGACATTGATTATTAAGTTTAATTTTTAACACTAAAAAGTAGGGTTCTTATTCAAATTGTAATATTAAACAAAGAATCCCTTTTCATGGCATCTTATACAATGAAACTGCATAAAAGATAATAAAACAGAAATATTCTATAGTAACTGCACTTCAGAAATTATTAGACGGCATAGATTCAAAGCAAGAAGAATATATACTAATATCCAAGATGCCAATTGTTCAAGATTACCACATAAGCTATCGGCTGCTACCAACAATGTCAAACAGCTGTGCTAGTATGTTTTAAGAAACACAGATATTTCAACATTTAAAAGTTCAATATCCTTGTATCCATATCAAAAGAGATGAACAATGAATAAGTAACCATGAAATGAACGTGAATAAAAATTATATAGGAATTGAGAAAAAACGAACCCATCTCCTTTCTATATAAGCAGAAACAGAGGAGAATCTGTTCAAAACTTGGACAGTTACACAAGACAGAACGTTCGAAAAATTGACAAATTAAACCCACAAATTAAAACAAGCAATTCAACATGAGAGTATCACCGATAAAGTCACAAGAATGCTATTTTATTAAACCAGAATAAATATAGTGATGCGTAACCAAATGAACACATCATTTAAACTATCAACTAAAGTATAATGTCTACCACACAGAATATCTCAATGATAATGTGGTAAATAAATGAAGACTTCCACCCTCTACTCTGTTCATAAACATCAAAGAGTACCAAGCAAAACGTAGGGATGACCCAATGTCACAATTACATAAGGTACGCAGAAGGCACGAATACTCAAATTGGCATTTATTTACAATATTAGCAAATAGACCATCGAAAATGCAGTAGAATAAGATTTTATTCTTTTTTTCACCAGGCACTCTTCTTCTTTGAACCATAGTAACGAAGATACCATTTCACAAACTTTTTCAACCCAGTTTCCAAGTCAGTTGTCGGCTTGTACCCGAGCTCCTCTCTTGCCAAACTTATATTTGCATGTGTATACAAAACATCCCCATTCCTCGGTATTGGCAACATCTTTTTCTTCGCCTTCACCTTTAACAATTTTTCCAGGATATCCACAAGCTTCACCACTGGCACAGGACTCGTGTTCCCCAAATTATATATCCTAAACTGCGCCGCACCTTTCTTCTTCCCACCGTTCCCAGTACTCTTCTTTGCCGTATCCAATGCTGCTAAACAACCCTTCACCACATCATCAACGTAGGTAAAATCACGCGCTACAGTTGCATGATCAGCCCCTTCAAAGATCTTAATCTCTTTCCCCTTCAATATATCCTTGGTGAAGAAAAAGTAAGCCATGTCCGGCCTTCCCCAAGGCCCATAAACTGTGAAAAACCGCAGCCCGGTAATTGAAAGCCCGTAAATATGATTATATGTATGTGCTATTTCTTCACCAGCCTTTTTAGTGGCGGCATACAAACTAGCAGGCTGGTCTGTTCTATCTTTTTCAGAAAAGGGTACCTTAGAATTAAGCCCGTAAACAGAGCTACTCGACGCCCATACTATCCTAGGTTGTAGGGTTGCATTTTTACATGCTTCAAGTAAGCTAACAAAACCATTAACATTACTGTGAATGTAAGAGTTTGGGTTCTGCATCGCATACCGTACTCCGGCCTGGGCTGCTAAATGCATCACATGAGTAAAATGCACAGTCTCTTCTGCCCCAGTTTTGTAATCTTTTAGTTGAAGTAATGAATTTTCAACGAGCTCTATTTTGTAAACACATAAAAAGGAAATTTCCATAGATGCGTCTAACACGTGCCTAGCGCACATGTCCGTGTCCGATATGTCACACACAGTCGCTGTGGCTCAGATGGCATATTGGTTCTTACTAATTATATTATCAAAAAAATCGGATTATGATGATCAAGGCTTATGCATAGAGACAAAAAAAAATTTTAATCCTGTAATCAGTAACTGTTATACTATATATCTTATAAATGTAATAAGGTCACAATTATACAATTAATGGTCATATGTACATAACAAATCAAAAAATTTATAGGTCATCTGTCACATATTTTAAAATTTATTGGTCAAAAATTATTATTTTTTGGTCACAAATTATCAAATTTTAATATCACAGTTTAACAATTACTCACAAAGAATCAAATAGTTGGTCACATACACCAAACACCCAACTCCTGATCCCGATCCACCACTAATACCTGATCACAAATCAATCAAATAGTTGTATAAACACTCTTCATGCCATCCCATCACTGTTGTTACCTCTGCCACCGCCATAACCACCATCAACAATAACAACACAACACCATGACCACAACATCACCACCTTACCACTATCACCACCACCACCAACTAGATGTGAACCTGCCAACCCACCACACATCACATCCCGATGCAACACTACCACCACACCACAATGCTGTCTTGCTGAAAATCGTAGCAACCCCAAACCACCACTACCACCACCATAAACAACATCAACACCAACATTACACCCCCACTTCGCCACTACTGAAAACTACATCAGCATGAAAACCACCCGCCACTCTAAATATCTTCGAGCACGTGATGACACCTCCGACATTCAGATTTGTGGGTTTCAGATCTTCAATGTGCCGCGTACCAGCAGAAAATCGTGGTACCATCACCACATATCAGCTAAAATGTGGTGTAATCAATAGCATCTGTGCGACAAGCATAAGCATCACCTGTAGTAGATCTGCAGCGGTGGTATCTCATTGGCAAAGCTGCGGTGGCATTTGCAATTGGAACATCTCCATATTTACAGCTTTGCGATGGTGTTTGCATGAGCTTTGCATTCAGAACAGCTCATCGGAGCTCAGCTCATGGTGGTGTCTCAAGCTTCAGAGACATCTGCATTCTCCGACAGCAGAGAGCTTGGAGAAGGGAGAGGAGAGAGTAAAGATAGAGAGATATTTAGGTTTTGAAAATGAGATTGGGGATGAATTGAGTGAGGTCGATTAATTATATTATTATTATTATTATTAAAATATATAATTAGTACCTGATTTGTGATTAATTAAAGTTTGTATCTGATTTTTGAAAAGAGATCTTCAAACATCGTCTATTGTGTAATTTTCACTTTGGGTATACTAATATCATTTCTTGACCCGATTATTTTTTGTACATTTGCACACTTGTTAGACATGTAAATCATAGATAATTCTAATTAGTTTTTCGAAAAGTATGGTATTTGTGTCGATCTTGACCACTTTAAATTTAATTAATGTTTAAAAAAAATCTTATAATCACATTATATTTTAAAGGTCAGTCTATCCTTACGATAAAGTGAAAATCCCTTGGACGATAATTTGTTGTTTAATGTATTAAAATACATCACAACTCTATTATATAATTAGTCAAGTAACAAATTGTCACGTAAAGTGATGATGATCATAGCATTATCCCCCTTTTTTCGTACAACATAGCTCCCAATTAAATTTTGCCGTATTTGGATCCAGATCTTGATCTCATTTGGGTTTGGTAATAAGTTCCCTTTTGGTCTCTGTTATTTCAAATTATAATTTTCTCTTACTTATTTTCAATCACACATTAAAAAAAATGAAAAAAAAATACTATTCTTCAAAATATAAATAGAAATAATGGGTCAAACGAGGGCTAATCCAATTGACAAACTAGGCCTGGCCTGATTCCCCACAAAAGGCCCTCTAAACGGCCCATAAAGAATAAAAATACCGAAATAGCTCGTTTGTCCCCGATAAAACTCTTCAAATTAATTTAATTTTTTCTTCGTCCTATTTTCAATCAAATAATTTTCGATAAAATAATATTATAGACAAATAAAAAAAATTTCATTCTTTCATGACCATCCTCTTTTTTTTTTTTTTTTTTTTTTTTTTTTTTCCCCCCTAAAAAACAATATTTCCTCTTATAAATCAAAATAATGGGAGGCGAACGGGACATCCCTGCCGAGTGTACCAGAACATTTTAAATTTTCTCCCCCCTCCATATAAAACGGGGTGAATTTTCTGCTATTTTCCGCATAAAAATTTCTCTAATTTGGATTCCATTTGATCTGCCGAAGGGTTACTCAGTTAACCTCTCTGCAAAATTCATTTTTATCTCGCATATTGACGTCGGGTAACGTATCTTTTCGATTTAATTTTTAGTTTTACCGTTTTCAATCATTATTGATATAATTCCTAGTTTATCATGAGAAGGACCTAAACTATAATTTTGATTGCTTGGAAATATGATAAACGAATGATTTTAATGTATTTTGTCATTTTTTGGAAGTTAAGGCAATCAGGTTATGTAATGGACCACATTGCGAAGAAAAGGTTACATTTATTCCTCAAATGATCAGTTATAGTTAGATTGGTGAATTTATAACTAGGATTAGTTTTTAAATGAAAATTGGTTTTTGCTGACTTTTGGTGCTCCGAATTTTTGTAGGTAGTTTGATTGCTCGTGAAATGTGGAATGGAGTGTATCAGTGGAAAAATAGTGAAATGATTTGAACTGATATTCTTGGAATATAGTATTTTAATTAAAAAAATTTGACACCTTGATTACCATATACTATTTGGTGTTTGAGATGGAATGATTGCGTGGCATGACAGACAGTGGTGACTTGGACTCAGAGTGCGCGATTGATAGACACTTGTTCTATTTCTTTGTATCAGGAATATATGTTTTAATTAAAGTCATCACAATTAGGTAGAATGTGTTGAGATTAATGCTGCACATCATTTTTTATGTTCTGCATGGAGAAGTAATTATTTTTTATTGGTCTTTCTTTCTTTAATTCCTTTCCATTGTCTCTTATGATGCTTGTTGTCCTTCTTGGCACTTGGCAGCGGGCGGGTGGATTAGATGATTATTCTTGAAGTTATGATCATAATAATTAAGGAGATACAGAATTCACATATATTTAGAAAAAAAGAAGTAAATAATAATTATTAGTAGCATTGCATACTTTAAGAGCTTGATGAATTTTACAACCCACTAATGCTAGTAATTTAAAGGCTAGAGGGGAACAGCTAGTTTAGATCAGAAGTCCAATTTTTTTTGGGCAACAGAAGTCAGTAAATAAAAATTGAGAGGCAGCTGAAAGATGATAAATAAAAATTTGCGATCACTTTACTGATTTGTTAGGCAACTTGCAAAACAGCGTTTTACTTGAATAAATTCGTTTTCAGGGTCGTAGAGTTCATTCCTTTTTCTGTTAGTAAATAGGTACCACAGTTGCCTTCTTATGTCAGTTGATGGTTTTAGTTATGCCTTTTATGCACCATATGTTTAGTAGGGGTATATTACAAGAGAAGTTAAGAGTAGAAATGATGCATCTTTCTGCTGATATTATTTCCTTAAAAGTTGCCATCTTCACAATTGAGCAGTCTTTCCTGCTGCTGTTCCTTGATACTGTGTGACATTTCAATCTGTCTTTCAGGGAACTAGTGACTAAACAATGCAGGGAGGCAGAGATCTGTTATTTGGATTCGGAAGTCACAGGAGTATAATGCCCTTGTTTGAGCACCATTTTTGTGAAGAAAATGAATTTTTGAATAGTGTATTGATGGGAAATGTGTGGTTAAAAAATAAGGAATTTTTTTTTTATTTGCTTATAATATTATTTTATTAAAAAATGTGTGGTTGAAATGATGTCAAATCACTGTTGAAAAATGTATTTTGGTTGAAAATGGGGCTCAAACAAGGGCAATATCTAGCTTTTTGGGTGGAAGAGACCCATTTGATGACCCTTTTTTTAAACACCCGTTTGAAAGCATGTTTGAGTCGAGCTTCTTTGGTCCTTCTGGAAGTACATTTTTGGATGCACATGCTTCTGGGTTGCTTGAACACCAGCCATCCCAGCCCAATGGAACCAGGGGACCAATAATTGAGGAGTTGAAATCTGATGACGATGAACAAGAAAAGGAAAGGAGAAAGGAACTTATAGATAGTAATCCAAGTAAGCATGGCAGGTCTAGGAAAGAGCCTTATGTGGAGTATCCAGATGATGAAGGCGCAGGTAATTTGTATTTTGTGTTTTATTTTGCACTTGGTTTCTTTTAATGTACAGTTGATCATGTTTCCATTGACATGGATTGATCTATTTTTGTTTCAGAGAAAAAGAGTAAGCAGATGACTCAACAAAATGATTTTAACCAGATGCATGTAAGGTCACATCCCCAAACACAAAGCTTCACTTTTCAGAGCTCGACTGTGAGTTATGGTGGTAGAAATGGGGCATACTTCACCTCATCCAGAACAAGGAGGACTGGGAGTGATGGTGTAAGTGAACTTTAAGACAACGTGATTTATTCCTTGAAATTTCAAATGCTTTCTTCTATATTATTTTTCTGTAAAACATTTTTTCTTAAATCAATAGTTGACGTTGGAAGAATGTAAAGAAGCTAATTCATCTACCAGACAAGCAACTCATAGGATCTCAAGGGGGATTCACGACAAGGTAACATCTCTAGATCCTCCTGTTCTTATTACATCGTATTCGGTTTCAATTACATCTGAGATGTTAATCCAGATCTTTGATCTCAGATGTTTGAAAGATGTTCATTGTGCTGTAGGGTCATTCTGTTACTCGGAAATTGAAGGCAGATGGTAGAGTGGACATGATGCAAACCCTCCACAATCCTAATGAAGGTAGTTTTCAATGTATATATTTTCTCCTGGTGTGTGATGTCATGTGCAAATTTTTGACCAAATGTTGTGTTTCTGCACTTAGATGAACTTGTCGGATTTGAGGAAGCATGGAAAGGAAATGTGAGAAGGCTAACTGGCTGTACTGAAGAATTCTCTGCTCAAAATGGTATGGGTAAGGGATTATTATCAACATTCCTGCTGTCTTGTTTTTGCCTGAATATCTGGTTTGCACCTCCAGTTTCATTTTCTTTTTTTAAATTCCTTGTGGTCCTTTGTACATTAATTTGGTGGTTTGTCGTTAATTGAACATTTTATATTTGGTTTCTTCTATTGTAGGAAATATATTTGAATTAGGTCTTTGTTGATGCTCATTATTTCCAAAACACATTTTTCTCTATCTTCTTTTCAATCACACATTCTTCAATAAAATAATATTACACGCAAACCCAAAATTTTTTCTTATTTTTAACCACACATTCTTCATCAATTTGCTATTTTAAAATGCATTGTTAGAATAAAAATGGGGCTCAAACAGGCACTAGATATGTTTTCTCGATTTCAGATTATTAGGTTGGGACTAGATGCTCTTCACTTGCATTTGAGAAAACCTTGATTTTGTAGGGTATTTTTGTGTTGCAGTTGGGTGGAGCATGGCCAGAAATCTAACCTTGCGGGGACGTAATTTAATTGAGAATAAAAGTTCTGGTTCAAATATCAACGCGAGTAATTATTTAATAATTCTTATATTTTTCAGATTAACTTGGTATACATTATTATTTTTTATTTTTTGAAGTTGTTGCTGAATGATCATGTAACTCTGCATAAGTTTTTCATACTAGATGTTAAGGGAGGCATGTTGCGATAAGTTGATAGTTAACGTAAAATTTTGTCAAATCTTATGTTATGTAACTGATTTAGGATGCAATCAAACAAGATAGTAGAATTATAGGAGAATGGGAGAGGGAAGAGAAGAGAAAGGAGGGAAAAGAGAGGAGGGGGAGATAGAAAGAGGACAAAATTAGACGTCATATGGAAGGGAAGGGAAGAAGAGAAAGGAGGGGGAAGAGAAGAAGAGGGGGAGATAGAGGAAAAAATTAGACAGACGGAAGAGAAATTGCGGGAGAAAGTATCAATTTTTTGTTCATTTCAAAGTTGTGTTTGTTAAACCTAGCGTTAATTGAAGTAGTATTTTACTATAAAATCAATTAAATCAAACCGTAATTATGTTTCCTAAAATAAGTATCAAAACTGGAAACTAATTTAAATAATATCAATATGTGATTAACGTGCCCCTGCTATCATTAAGAACATGGTCCAGTGGCATAAGTTGCAGAACTGACTTGTTATGTAAAATTTTGGAGATATACCTAAAGCTCAGATAGTGTAATAACAAATCTTATTCATTAACATGAAGTTCACCATTCTATTTTCAAGAAAATTGGATCGTTGTTATTCTTCAATGGCATTCATGTTTCTGTTGATTTGAAAATGGAGTATCAAAACAGTGGATCCTAGTTTTTCGTGAAGGCCATTGGACTCATGGAGGGAAAATTAAATTCGGTTTTCTACTTTTCACAGGACAGCATCTAGTGGGGTTAGTTGCCCTGGTTCAACCCCCATTGCTCCGCCTTTGAATATGGCGCACTTTGAAGTATTTCAATACAAGTGAAATTTATTTTGATTGATCATCTGTCTTATTCTCGTGTTATTCTGCCAATTTTATTTTTTGGGTTGGTATTCAGAAGGTTTGATGTGGACGCTCAGGGGTGTTTTAATTTATATTGTGACGTGTTCCCATGATTTCGAAGTTCTGTTTCCCAATTAAGCTACTAAATATGCCATTTGGTGCAAAATCTGTAGGATTTGGAGGCAGTGGTCCAAACAGTGGAAGTTTGGCGCTTCCTTCTACCGGAAGATCAACCAATTTTGGATGCCCTAAACTGTACACTGGACATGGGGTCGGTCCTCCTCATTTGCTACAGTCGGGAATGATGAAAACAGATGCTGGTGACAGGATACGCTCGTCCATGGTTAGATCCAAAGGAGTTGGCACCAGTAATGTAGATCAAGTGAGGAGGCGTTAGTAATGTTTTTACCTGTTACCATATAAATCTTTTTTGAAGCCTCATTTTCGACTCAGATATGTGAACACGTCCTTTTCTGGTTATATTTCAAATATATAAAAATAATGCAATTATGATGAGAAAACATGTTTTCTTTGCACTTTGGCCATTTTTATGCGTATGTCTATGGATCTTTAATGCAGATCATATCTTCAACTTTAGAATATCATAAACTACTATACTATTTTTTGTTTTTTGTTTTTGTTTTTGTTTTTGTTTTTGTTTTTGTTTTTTTGTTTTTTGTGCAATCATCTGACCCTTTGTTGTTTTTCATTTAATTACAAATTGGTGTGATTTTATTTTATTCTTTTTCGGCTTTCTGGATTGTTAGAAGTTGGTGGGTGGTGTGAAATTTTAAAATAAGATTTTCTATACGATTCTTTTGAAAATTTAGTCGGTGAAAATTTTATAGAATTGTATCAAGTTTTCATTTAGTGGGAAATTTTGAGTGTCCATAAATTCTTTTCTACATTTTTATATAATCTTTATGTCTGAACAAGAGTTCTGTTGGCAAATTGGATGATTAGTTTTAGTTGCCAACATAAATTTTACTCACTGCTATTAAATCTAGTACAATATGTCAAATATGCCCAGATGATTTTGGTCAATGCTTAACTTAGAGCATTTGTTTAATCTTAACGCATACGATAGATTATACCTTTTAATTGAATGGATTAGGGTTACAAAATTATCCAGTTCTTTACATTCTTATCATCTTACTTTTGATAAGAAAGCGCTTTTAGTTTTGCTCGGTAGAACTTGGGTCCTTGGCCGATTTCTCGAAAGAAGTTTTTACTGGATTTCTATCCACCAAAATTTTGACTTTTGATTCCGGTGAACGAATAATCATAGTGGCGTAGCTTGGTAGTGTATTTGCTTTGGGTACAAAATGTTATGTGTTCAAATCCAATCATTTCTATCTATTACTCTTGTAATGGTAGAAATAATCAATCAAAAAGTTAATGAAATTTTTTTTCTTCATCAATGAATATGAGTCTTTGCATGTAGGTTTAATGCATGTCCTGTATTAGGTTTTCATTCTTATGATAATCTTCAATGTCTAATATTAATCTCATATATACAAAAAAACATATTTAGTACATAAATTTTTTTTAAACATTTATCTAAAATGCTTAAAAGGAAAGAATATCGTTAGGCACCAAGATCACCCGATCAAGTAAAGGATCGAACGATTAATGGTAATTAGATAGACAGCTGTTTTCTTGTAATTAGTTGTTGCAAAAAACAATAGCTTTTGACAATAGCAAATTACAAGAAGACAGATGTCTTTTTTGTACCATTTCTGTTAAAAAAATTTGTATTTGCAAATTAATTCAAAATTCTTTTGGAATTATGTTAAGATGTTACAATCTACTTCCACGTGTTAAGCCTCCATTGGTTAGCAAAGGCTGAATATGGTAAGCTCCCTTCGACTTGTTGGCTTCCTTGGGGAAATTGATTTTGAATTTTGTCAGTTGTACCATCGTGGTTAACAACGTCCTCATAAGAGGGGTGTTCATGATTTTTTTTTTAATTCATTGTGGGCCCCTTCCCATATATGTGGTTGTCAAACCCAATTGTACATGTAGCATGGCCGATTGACTTTTTTCCAAGATTTTCACTGATCTCCATTGATTACGCTGTGTCTTTTAGGGATTGATAAGGTTATTTCCTTTTCAAACAATTCCTTCCTAAAGTATATTTAAACCTGGATTCGAACATCGCGGTCACCTTTGCCCATCTAATGCCATCAATGTTTCACCTGGTTCACCTTTGACAATCGAATGCCACTAATGTTTCACCTTTAGTGTTTAGGCGTAAGGGATTCAACTGGTTGGCGAGGCATCCACCAAGAAGCATTTTTATGCGAACACCAAAGAGATGACAACATTGTTGAAGGTGAAAGCTTGGTTACATATCTTTTGTTAAGGAATAATGCTATGTAGTCTCATTGGAGTTGCAATCCCACTTTAGATGACGCTAATGTGACTTTAATTAATAGATGAAACTTAAACTCAATTAATTTCACCTTTCATTTAACAAATCTTCTAGCGTCACCTAAATTGGTTTACAACCCCAATGGGACTAAAAACATTACTCTTTGTTAAGACCCATACATTTGCCATGTGTTGCATTGTTAATGCCTTTGCTGCCACGTGAGCGCTCATGTGGAATCTTTGCAGATTTCAAATTGTAGCAAAAATTTCCAAAATAATTTCTAATTTCCAGTAAGATAAGAAATCATTCTTGGGTTTAAAGGAAATATATTTACTCAAAATCACAAGGTTTCAAATTTTCAAGAATTTTGACCTAATTTTTCAGTCCATTTCGCTGCCCTAGACCGGAACTTTGACATGTCGATGTCGCCATATCGAAAAGTATTAGCATTTAGCAAGCACTGTCATCGTATTGCTATTTGCTAACACTATTTCAAGTAGTGATGTATCGAAATCCGGATGGTTGGACAACCACAAGATTTCGACTCATCTAGCGAAACATACTAGTCATTTCCTATCCAACGTAACATGCAGACCCCAAAACCCGAGAGTACACCACAGGGGATAATAATCATGGAAAACTCCAAAGAAGTAATGAAAGAGATTCCAGCCTGGAAAGAAGCCAAAATGTTTGCAACATAAAGAGGAATTAGGATTAAAGGTAAAATGAATGGCAGATAATAATGCTTCCAAGAAAGAGAATAGAAAATGACAGATAGCCCGATACGAACTTCATCAAGATCTTAAGAAAAGCTTTGTAATAAACATAGGAGAATCCGAAAAAGAAGATTATGAGCAAAGAGAAAACTGAATATACCCAACAATCCTCCATGTGGACCAAATCCAACCCAACAACTCATATATGAAATTTCACTAACAATCTACTATTCACATTCAAGTTCAGATCAAGAAATACAATATGGGTTCGGAGCGGGCGGGGCGGAGACAAATTCTCAACATTTATGATACACAAATTCTCAAACCAAAATATCAATTCTGCTGTTCAGGAAAAAAAGTGCTCTATAAGCAATATCACGGCTCTCGAACTCTTAAAAGCACTTGAAGCAAAAAGCCCCCTTTTTTTGGCAATCAAGAACCGTAATGATAAAGTTGTTCAAACACAAATAATAGTATATAATAGCACAGACATTGATTATTAAGTTTAATTTTTAACACTAAAAAGTAGGGTTCTTATTCAAATTGTAATATTGAACAAAGAATCCCTTTTCATGGCATCTTATACAATGAAACTGCATAAAAGATAATAAAACAGAAATATTCTATAGTAATTGCACTTCAGAAATTATTAGACGGCATATATTCAAAGCAAGAAGAATATATACTAATATCCAAGATGCCAGTTGTTCAAGATTACCACATATGCTATCGGCTGCTACCAACAATGTCAAACAGGTGTACTAGTATGTTTTAAGAAACAAACAGATATTTTAACATTTAAAAGTTCATCCTTGTATCCATATCAAAAGATACGAACAATGAATAAGTAACCATGAAATGAACGTAAATAAAAATTATATAGGAATTGAGATGCCATTATGGAAACAAGAACCCAAGTCCTTTCTATATAAGCTGAAACAGAGGAGAATCTGTTCAAAACTTGGACAGTTACACAAGACAGAACGTTCGAAAAATTGACAAATTAAACCCACAAATTAAAACAAGCAATTCAACATGAGAGTATCACCGATAAAGTCACACGAATGCTATTTTATTAAACCAGAATAAATATAGTGACGCGTAACCAAATGAACACATCATTTAAACTATCAACTAAAGTAAAATGTCTACCACACAGAATATCTCAATGATAATGTGGTAAATAAATGAAGACTTCCACCCTCTACTCTGTTCATAAACATCAAAGAGTACCAAGCAAAACGTAGGGATGAACCAATGTCACAATTACATAAGGTACGCAGAAGGCACGAATACTCAAATTGACATTTATTTACAATATTAGCAAATAGACCATTGAAAATGCAGTAGAATATGATTTTTTTCTTTTTTTCACCAGGCACTGTTCTTCTTTGAACCATAGTAACGAATATACCATTTCACAAACTTTTTCAACCCAGTTTCCAAGTCAGTTGTCGGCTTGTACCCGAGCTCCTCTCTTGCCAAACTTATATTTGCATGTGTATACAAAACATCCCCATTCCTCGGTATTGGCAACATCTTTTTCTTCGCCTTCACCTTTAACAATTTTTCCAGGATATCCACAAGCTTCACCACTGGCACAGGATTCGTGTTCCCCAAATTATATATCCTAAACTGCGCCGCACCTTTCTTCTTCCCACCGTTCCCAGTACTCTTCTTTGCCGTATCCAATGCTGCTAAACAACCCTTCACCACATCATCAACGTAGGTAAAATCACGCGCTACAGTTGCATGATCAGCCCCTTCAAAGATCTTAATCTCTTTCCCCTTCAATATATCCTTGGTGAAGAAAAAGTAAGCCATGTCCGGCCTTCCCCAAGGCCCATAAACTGTGAAAAACCGCAGCCCGGTAATTGAAAGCCCGTAAATATGATTATATGTATGTGCTATTTCTTCACCAGCCTTTTTAGTGGCGGCATACAAACTAGCAGGCTGGTCTGTTCTATCTTTTTCAGAAAAGGGTACCTTAGAATTAAGCCCGTAAACAGAGCTACTCGACGCCCATACTATCCTAGGTTGTAGGGTTGCATTTTTACATGCTTCAAGTAAGCTAACAAAACCATTAACATTACTGTGAATGTAAGAGTTTGGGTTCTGCATCGCATACCGTACTCCGGCCTGGGCTGCTAAATGCATCACATGAGTAAAATGCACAGTCTCGAAGAGATTCCTAAGCAAAACTGCATCGTTTATATCGGCCTCAAATACGTAAACGCCGGCACGATCAAGGAGGGCTTTTCGGGCATTTTTCAGCCCGGTATCATAGTAATTGTTGAAATTATCAAGCCCAACAACACCATCTCCACGACGTTTGAGGGCAATAGAGACATGAGTTCCAATAAACCCAGCTGCACCAGTAACTAGAACCGAAAAGCCCGTTTTGGATCTTGTACGGGACGATTTCCGGGCCTTCACTTCCCAGTTCCCGTCCAAGCGTTCCCGGCTAATATAACTGGTTGTTCGAAGGCTACGGCGTTTGGCGGAGGCGGTACCGTCCGGAGGGGAGAAACAGAAGAAAAGCAGGATGAAAATAACAGAAAGAATAGACCAAAGAGCAAGCCTGGGGTGGAAGCGCAAGCGGTGAAAACTATACGCCGAAAACTTATCGGGCTTGAACTTCCCAGGGGAGGAAGGAATGATCGGGTCTAAATGGGAAAATATTGGCTTCAACTGGGTCATTGAAATTCACAGGTTTTTTTCACTTGATACTAGTTTCTTACTGCAGATTAGACTGTAAAAGATTTGGGTTTTGACTGTAAATGCATTTAGAATTTCCCTTTTCTATAAGTGAAAAATTACACTCACTGATTATCTGCAATTTTTAAGAATTGAGGAAGAAAAGGGAAGAAGAAAATGGATTCGGTAGACTGGCCGGTGTCCTTGGTTGGTGGTGGAGGGGGGCTGGAGTTTGATGAGAAAGCAAAGGGTATTTTACATTGACCAGACTCCCTGGGACTATAAAAAAGGAATTTTTTTTAAAAAAAATTGTTTTCCATTTATGGTAGAAAAATTAGAATTTTATTTTATTTTATTATTATTATTATTATTATTATTA